CAGTAAGTGTAACTGTGACTAATGCTTTTATTCGATGTAAGCTGTTTAGCTCATTCAACGTTTGAAACATTGGCAAAGTATACTTTTTGTAACTCCAGTCTGGAGAAGTATGGACAATGACAATATGGGTGTATAAAGCTATTTATATTTCCAGATTTTGTTCATTTCCCACAGACTTGATGTTTCCTAAGATTTGTCCTCCTTTGTGTCTTTCCTGTCATCCTTGTAAAAGGTCTTGTTAGCCTTCCTTTATTTATTCTGTTCTTTGTTTCTTCCATCCTCAATTTCATCCTCATGTTATTCCTGACGGTAACTTCTTTATTTCCTCGTTTGTGTCCTGCTGTCTTTACTCCCCTGTGCCATCGCTTCTTTTCTGTTTTTGTTTTGTTTTGTCCTCCCTTTGGCTTTTTTCATTGTCGTCCTTCCTGTCAAATTTCCGCTCTTTGTGTGTCCTCCTTCCCTCTGTGTTGTCTTTCCTTTTATCACATTGTCTTCTGCCTCCCTTCTTTGTGTCCTCCTAACTATTCTTCCTTCTATCCATTATCTATTTACTCCAAAACTCCGAATTTGAACACTTTCCATTGTAGTAATGTCTGCCATAAATACATGGAAACTTGGAAAGTGAAATTCTTATATGGATATTTTGATTATATTGATTATATTATATTTTTCAGCTAAGAAAAACGTAGAATTTCTCTTCGCTGAAGTCTTTGCATAATATTAGACTGACTCCATGACGTTTCTGTTGCTCTGCAACATTGAGAGCGTATTAAAGTATTACTTTTGAAAAAGAATGCCTAAACAAATGTTGTCTTTCTTCCTGCATGTTGTAATAAAAAGATTGAACCACTCACACTGAGTCCTGGTGATGCATCCCTATGTTTATTGCCTTTACAAACTCTCAAGACTTCCTGAAGCTCCTTGCGTAGGTATTTTGCAACGTTTGACCATTGCTGGTTAAAGTGATATAAAACTCAAAGCGGCCGATCATACTCTTAGCATTCAGTCCAACTGTATATTTAAGGAAAATACAATTAATTCAGTTTAAGAGTTGATTGCGCTTTGTAAGTGCAAGTAGTTTAGACTGTAATTTTACCCTCAGGTGATGCTTTGGCCTCATGATTACAAGTTGACTTTGCTGAGTAGTTTCTCTGTTTGCCAAAGCTAACTAGCATTAGTTCACGTAAGTCTGTAATTAACCCACCTGGTCTCCTTCATGTCTTTACCAGCAGGCACTTTTTTTTGTTATTTTTTGTTTTCTCATATGAAAAAAGTCGGAGTTCAGGTACAAAAGGAGCTAGAACACCTGACGAAATATGGTTAATGTTGGAGAATATAAACCAACATGTAGGCCATATAAACCAACAGAAATAAGGCCACATTATACAAAGGATCTGTATTTTTGGTTTGATACCCTTTGAAAATTTTTAACATTTCATGTGAGAACCAACAAACTTCCCTGGATGCAGTGGACCGATACAAAGTGCTGCATTATTGTTAAACGGAAGGAAAGTCGTAGTTTTCATGGCCTGTACAAATGGAAGATCTGATAAGTGTGGTGTGCATTTTAATCAACATTAAAATTAGAATATTGGACTGCAGATTGTTTGAATGTAGCACAAAATCCATGTATTAAAGTCTTTTGAAGATAAATTAGCTAAATTAAGACTATTTAGATAGAAATTCAAACATTCAGTTTATGCAAAGTGTTTACAATAAGATTGTTGATATAAGGAATTAGAGTTAAAGGGGTGGAATATTAATGGACACCAAAAAAGAAGAAATTCAAAGTGTATGGATGTTTTTGCAAGACTCTGAATGTGTTGAATTCACTAAGCACCATAGTTTGAGCGAAGTGACCGATGTGGCTGATGACGGGTTGCCAGGCTATTTATCATGCTGAGGAAGCCACTGAGTGGCCTTGCCTGGCGTTTGACAAGTTAAAGACATTTCATGCTGGGAGTGAATCAAAGTGTAGCCAACTCCCTCATAAAGTCTTATTAAATTGCTTCTGACTCATTCGAACAAACGCCCCTGTTTTGCTCAGTTTCCTAAGAATTCAATTTATTTCATTTGCTCCATCTCTTCCCCCCTGCACCCTCCTTATTTTCTTCACCCAAAATTAGATGCAGTTCCTTATGGCTTGAAAATCTCTTTGTGTTAATTGTGCAATTTTATTTCTTGCGCCTAACATTGACACAATGCACCTGTCAGTGTAAATTTATCCAATCAACAGTTTGCGGAAAATGGTCCAATTTACTATTTTCGCATACATTGTGAGCTCGGCTGAATGCTAGCTTTGAATAATCATCAGGTCAGAGTCGCTTTCCTGGTGGCTGAACAAAAACTCATCTTTGACACTTTCACTTTTGGAAAATAAAAGGCTTTTTAACCGAGAATGTCACTCAGTCGGGTTCTGCAGGATGCATGTATTTGTCTAAATGGACGCAGGATGGTGTGTGTGTGTCGAACAGGAAACTAAAAACAAAGCTTTGACCCTCCTGAGGTTAATCAGCATGGATGGAGCATTCCTGACCCTGGACTGACTGACTGACTGGTTCCACCTTAATTTAACCCCAGCAGCGTCTGACATGGCAGACTCACTGCCTCCTTCTGTAGTTTCAAGTTTAGAATGTGGGAAATATGTAAGAATATAGAGAAACTCGTCCTGTACCCCTTTTACATGATACTTCTGGCTTGGGCAATGAACTAATTTGATCAAGTAATATATATTTTTTTTTGTTTTTGAAGATTTCATTTTTGGAAAATCTGGATTTATTTTTTTAATAATGGGTTTGTGTAGTTGTGTAGATGTCGTCCTCTTTCCTCATGTGCGTCTGTTTATGCTTGTGTGTTTCTGCATAGATGGAGCGTCAGATCCTGATGCAGAACCAGATGAGAGAGAGACAGATGGCCATGCAGATTGCCTGGTCCAGAGAGTTTCTCAAATACTTTGGCTCCTTCTTTGCAGTGGCCACATTGGGACTAACAGTAGGGTGAGAGGTGGAACACTGTTTACACTCTGAAAGGAAGTTATTGGGTGATGGCGAATATAAAATGCGTCGCCAGAAATGTGAACACATTTGGTCTTTCTGTCTGTTCATCCTCAGAGCCATTAAAAGAAAAAAAGCCGGCATGCTGGCTCCGATTGTTCCTCTCGGTTTCATATTTGCCTATCAGATGGACAGCGCCTACGGGACACTCATTTATCGGATGAGAGGTGAGGCTATTCGGATGTAGATGTAGAAACATGTTCTTTGGGGTTTTTCTGTTGAGATATGTCATTTTGATTTTGAGTTTTAAAATCATTCAGGCTCTTATTTGTCAATGGTGGAAGGATGGTACGAGAACTTTAAGTGTTTTTTTTAGAGAGGGTAGTCGTAATGTCATTTGATTAAAACATACCTGGAGTGTTGCTTTGATTCGTTCATAGATGTTTAGTAAATCCTCGAGTCAACCGTTCAGGGTGCCTAAACTCTTGCTTTCACAAAGTTCCTGTCTGCTGAGCTCAACATACCAACTACTTTTCAGTCCAGCTGTCCTAAGAATGGTTGTAAACTGCATAATGGAGAAACATTGTGATGATGTAGAGAGGGTGGAATGTCAGTAAGAGTAAAAGCTTCTTACACAGACAGAAGCTAATTTTCGAGGCATGGAATTGCGGAGTAAAATTTCTTTTAAGTCATGTTTGATATATACACCATTTTTATGAAAACTAAAAATGACAGTTACTTGATTATGCTATAAAATGTCACTGTGCCTGGAAAATTAATGAAACTGCCACTTCAAAATTCATAATTAAAAGGTCCAAGCTGATCATTCCTTCATATGAATTTACTTAAATGTCTGATGAAGATTTGATTGCAGTCCAGCTCAAACATACTGAGGCAGAACTACTGGTTCACAAAATGTTTCTGGGTTAAAGAAGGAAAAGTGACTGTCGTATGTTTGGGTAGAAGACGACGTCCGTATGCCACATTCCATTTATGTTTGGTTTCGTTGGACCTTTAGGTGAGGCTGAGAATATCATGGCGTCTGAGCACGATCGTTTGGACCTGCCTCTGGGGACGCCAACGTACGAGAGCATAGAGAAGGCCCGCCGGACCAAAACCGGCCTCATCTCTTTTTTGGAGAAGTGATTCATCAGTTGTGACACGAGTCAAGATCCAAACCGTCCGACCGGTGCGTTCACCTGTGCTATTTCTGTTTTATCATAGAGAACAGCTGTCAGGTCCAATTTGGGTACCTTGAATGTGTTGGAGTCTGCGGTTTGCACCCAGTCTACATCATGAACCTTGAAATAAATCTGTAGCTGTTTTGATTTTGTATAGCGGTCTCGTTGTTGAAAGCTGATTGGCTGATCAAGATTACTGATTTAGATGAGTTAAATGTATACATTTACTGTGCTGTTGTGGTATAAAATACAAATTATAGTAATAAACAGACACCGTCAATGACGCATTATTTGCTCCTGACAAATTACCATAGGTGATGATTTCCGACCACTAGGTGGCAGAATGTACATCATTACGTATTTATTGGTACATCTCATTAGTCTAGTAATCGTTTTTTTGTCTGCTGTTATCATAGTATTTAATGCCATATTTTTATTCAGTTTCTGATTCACTAGTCAATAATTGGGGTCATCGTACCAAAGCTTTTTATTTGTACATTTATATTTTCTTGCATAATTTGCATCTGACATATTGAAAGTATTTGTAAAGAGAATAAAAAAAAATCTTTCAATAACATTGTCTAAGATATTCATTTTATTTATCTTTGTTTCATCATCTGTATTCTAATTTTTTTTAAAAATTTTATGTACGTGCATAGACGGTCTGTGCAATTATATTACTGCAACAAAGGAATAACTCAAAGTACGTCAGTGCCATCAATCCAAGTGACGTGTGTGTGTGTGTGTGTGTGTGTGTGTGTGTGTGTGTGTGTGTGTGTGTGTGTGTGTGTGTGTGTGTGTGTGTGTGTGTGTGTGTGTGTGTTGCGAGGAGGGCGGGCGGGCAGCAGAAACACACAAGTCTAGGATTGAACTACTGACTACAGTATATAAGGTTGTGGCCACTGGCTCAGAGAGAACCAGAGGAGCGAGACGCAGGAAAAAGACGGGAGCATTTGCTGCTGTTTCAATGGGCTTTAATTGAACTCTGCAGGTGAAAAAGTCAGGAGCAGAATCCTCAACTCTGACAAAAAAAAACAACAAAAAAACGTTTCAGCTTCCCAGTTTAGAGTTTCAGCCTTTAGTAAAGATGCTGTGGAGGGTGACCGTTGCCTTGGCCGTGATGTTCGTCGGAGGCGCATGCAACAGCGTGGAAGCCGATGTGATGAGCAGACTGATCGTGCCCAGGGACTATAGGGTGAAACTGTGCGGGAGAGAGTTCATCAGAGCTGTCATTTTCACCTGCGGGGGCTCTCGGTGGAAACGGTCCACAGAGGGGGAATCGGGTGAGTCAAACTGTTTACTCTGTTATTGAGCTCTCGATCTCACAGTGAGATTTTATTAATGTAGGAAAATTAAAATCTGCATTTGTCTGTGAAACAGTTGAGATTTCAACAAAATTGGAAACAAAATGTGAAAAAAAAAAAAAAAGTTGGAAGAAAGCTTATTATGAAATAGTTTTGAAAGTCATTTCTTCTTAAATCATCTCCGGAGAAGAGCATTTAATAAATTTAAGACAATTTTTTTTCTTCCTCCAGAGCCGTCCCACTGGACTTACCTGGAATATGTTGCACCCGAAGCCGACCGGAGGACCTGGCAGCATGAGACAAATCTCAGAGACGATAACTCTCCTCTCCCCTTTGACGCCTCCAACTCGCTCGCTGACCTCTTGACCCTCACAAACGAGAGACCACAATCGTCTCCAGGCTTCCCAGGCTTGCCGAGGGAGTCCACAGCTTTAGGTGAGCAGGAGGAGAATGAAGACCCCGCTAACCGACTTGTAGCGACCAAGAAGAAGAGAAACTTTTCTCTGGGCGTGGCGGGGTTGTGCTGTACCCACGGCTGCACCAAGTACGATATCGGACGGTTGTGCTGAGACAGAAAGGAGAAAAGGCTGGTGTGATAATAAAGATTAGGCACTGTACAATAATTTGGTTTGAGCAAAAAGAAGGGAAACATTTGGTTTATGTTTGTTTAATAGCAGCCATTAACTGTAACTTCTTGAACTTATTTTAATAAAAGTCATGTTCTCTATGTCGACTGTTGCCTTCCTTGAAACATGAATAAATTTTAAGTACTGTGTTAATGAGTCATCCTGCAGTGTCATGCTGAAACGACAGTGACTTTTTATTGACATATTGAAGTATCACTTTTATTTGTATCTTGGACAACAAAAAGGTAAAGATCTGCATTTTATTTGCCATCGAAAACAAACATCCAGACTTCAGAAAAAAATACCATCTCCTAACTTTATGATCCAAATCAATGAATCTTTGTGAATTAAATGAGTAAACACGTTTTTTTGTCTTTACACCAAACATTTGTGATCGTTTACATTCACAGTCAAAACTCAATCCAACTCCAAAATAAATGTGGAAAACAGTCGAGCAGTATAAATGTTTCTTTTCAGAAAAATCTTTGGTCATGAAATAAACTCACACTTTACAAATTAACATATTTGACCATAAACAACACAAATTCATCATTAGTAAAAGTTGCACAACTGAAACAAAGATGCCCTTTTTCACAGCTTTAAACAAAGTAAGCATAATCCACCACAAAATATTGAATTTGTTCTTTTCAGTTCCAATTTTACAATTGATGAATTTTTGCAGTTTGTGATATAACATTTTTAACAAAGTAAAGGCACTGAATTAAATAAAAACAATATGAACAAGGATCTGTCGTTTATGGCAGAAAAAGTTGAACATTAGAAAGTATTTCACAAACTGCATATTTTCTTTAAAGCCTTCAGTCATAAATATCCATTATTCTTAGTCTAAAGGAGACCTATTATGTTTTCTTGAACAAGTTAAGGTACGACTGCAACTGAATAATTGGGAGGTTCATGAAATGGCTCGTTTCCCTGAAACCAAAAAATATGAACTTATTTCCAAAAAAATAGTCTTTTCTGGCTGTTTTTTGCTTTAAATCATTTGAACTGTTTAAAAGCAGCTGAGACTCATACTGAAGTACAAAAGCATGTAAAAAGTGAACTTTGCATAATAGGTCCCCTTTAAGTATTCCCTAAATAGTGACATGAATTAAAAAAAAAAATACAAAGCAGCCCTTCTTACCACTCATTTATGGTCGGTAATGTAATGCAAACTGACCAGAAATCACAAAACTCTTTAAATAAACTGATAGCTGGCACAAAATATAGGCATCCACTTATTTTGAAGCTTTCCCATAGGCTGATAATGAAGCCTTGTATCATTCAGAATGTGTGATGCATTTAAAAAAAGCAATAAAAAGAAGTAAATTAAAATAAAGACCTCCAGAGGCATTACAGTGTAACTTGATGATCGCTCACACAATGCAGGCTCCGCAAAGCATTTAGTTTAACATCTCTGGTTGTTAAACTAAATTTTAGAACTCACTTCATTGCTAATTCAATCCGCCTGTGAATCATTTAAACTGTATTAATGCAGCTGTTGGTGAAGCGTTCACACGTTTGTTAAACTTCTCAGGGTGTAAAAACTTTTGCAAGTCGCATTATCTATGTAACAGAGAAGGTCCAAACAAATCTCTGGGTCTCCGTTGAACCTTTTCCACCAAACTGTTCCCAGAGCTTCACCAAGACAAAATCTCAGCCGGGCTCGGAATCCCATGCTAATCCAGGTCGCAGTCGGACCAAAGGAAAGAACTTCTTTTAATAAGGGCCACGTTTAAAACTCCAGAATTTAGTTTCAGGTTTTATTAAAAATGTAAAATCTGTGCTTCAACAATAGCAATTTGTCAGATTGGCATAAGGACATCAGGGGATGACCGTCTCTTTTCGCAGTTTATTTTGAAATGATCTATCTCAGAGTTTAAGTAAGCCGGTTTGTGGCTGTGGTCAGGGCTGATTATTCTCCTTTCTGAATCAGTTCTTCAACACAAGTGGTGTTAATAAATCTTTCTTTAAAAGCTGTGTTAGATCATGTATCCAAAAGCCCAGTTTTTTAGAAGTGTTAATAAATCAAGTTGGTTACCAGTATCCATGTATTACTGTGTGCAGTAATACATGGATAAATCCTATTTGTTTGGTTGAATTGACTCCATTCTCAGAGTATGGGGGGGTCCAAACAATAATTAAATATGTTTAGAATGATGCAATGACAGTGGTGGAAAAGCAAGGCAGAACCACTGAAAGCGTGACTCTAGCACCACCTCTGGTGAAGAACTGGAACCTCTTGGTTTCGTCGTGATTTCAAGCGCAGCCACATGGCTGAAAGTCTGTTCGGAATGCAGTTTGGATTGTAAATACAAAAAACAAACAAACAAACAAAAACAAAAAAAAACGTAGAATTGTATTAGAAAACAACAGAGAAAATCTTCTAATTAGCTGTAGTGTACTCGGTATTTCAGTCTTTTCTTCATGAAGCGGTCGAGCTGCCACGAGTGTGAATACAGCCACCACCTAAACTCCATTGGTAACTCTAGTCGTTGTGTGACGACTGACTAGCGCACGTCAACACCAGCAGGTCAACAGTTCAGGAATTCGCTGCGTTCATCTCATCCGTCCTTGCTCTCTCGCACAGTCTCCACCCGCTGGATTAGGACTTTGAATGTGGGCCGCAGTTTCGGGTCACTGCTCCAGCACTCCGTCATGATCTTGTGAATCTGAAGGAGCAAAAGGAAGAAGTTGAAGCCACATTGTGGTGACAATAAACACCAAACTTGCTGTTGCTGCAGACCTCCTTCAGGCAGTTTTCAGGAGCAGGGAGTCTGTATCCTTGTTTCAGCAGGTCGATCAAATGGTAGACGATCATCTGGCCCTGCTTTTCATTTCCCATTTTCTCCATGAAAACCTACAACACAGAGGAGTTTGCTCTCAATAATTGTCCCCCCCCCCAAAAAAGAGTCCTGATCACATAAGTGAGGCAGTAAAACTGATGGTTGTTTTCAAACTCAACTGAATGAAGATATTTAATTTAAGTGTGAAGTGGGTAGTTAAAGTAAGAACAAAGAGGCGCCGTACCGCTGGGGGACTGCAGTTCTTGTCACTGTAGGTAAAGAGCTCATATAGAACGACGCCGAAGCTCCAAACGTCAGAAGCTACGGAGAACTTGCTCTCTGTCAGCGACTCAGGAGCATACCTGCAACAAACAACAAGACATTATTACAATTATTATAATAATCCAATGATCGGATAAAAAAATTCTACAGATTTTTTAATGTATACATTGAGATGTAAATAAAAAAAAATTATCCACTTTGCTCTTTACCGTTTAAAAATAAGGGAATATAATTATTCACATCAATTTTCAGGCAGAAGATTAAATCCTTAAGCATTTAGAAACCACATAATGTAGTCCTGTGGATGGATGAAGCATGAATACAAAAGATGAAATTATCACACCAGAAAAAAAGATCCTGTCTTCCCGTGTCACACATAGGGGGCTTATTACATTTTACTTTTCCAGAGTCATCGTCAAAATCTCAGAAAACTTCAACTCTTCATACAGAATGGAGTATCTTTCTATTGAAATTATATTTGATGCATGTGAGACAAACAGCACTCTGAACAAATCTATTTTTGATCTGCCTCACCGTTTAAAAACCACAACAACTTCATTAATCTGTTTGCATCTTCTTGACAGCCAGTCGCTCTTTCTCCATCGTCTTTTGACAAAAACATAAACCTAAACAAAAGCAGCAGTTACAATCCTCACCAGAAGATGGGGCTCTCCCCAGGCTCCCTGACAGTGTAGTACTCCTTGTCCTGCGGCAGCACTTTGGTTAGGCCAAAATCGCCGATCTTCACCCTCATGTCGCTCTCCACCAGAATGTTCCTGGTGGCCAGGTCTCTGTGAATGTACCGTTTACCACCAAGATAGTCCATGCCCTGGAACAAGTTCGTGCTTTAATCAGCATCAGGTTCACGCTCATCAGAATGTACTTCAGTTTATCTGAAAGTTTTTTAATTGTCTTACCTTGCATATCTGCGATGCGTAGTGCAGCAGTTTCATGGAATCGATGTGGTCCTTGTGTTTGATGAGATAATCTCTCAAGCTGCCAAAGGGGAGGTACTCCATGATGAGACGAAGGTTTCTTCTACCTACAGGAAGGAGATGGTTGAATACTAATGGGATTTCTATGTTTTTTAATGGTAGAAAATCAATTGAAAACAAAGGTAGTGTGAACATGTCATTGATAAAAACTTGCTGTCACACAAGAAACAAAATAGCAGCACTGTAGAGAGGAAGCAGTAAGTTTGAAAAAAAAAAAAACATTTTCAGGTAGATGATGAGGCATTTTTCCACACCTGCACTGTAGCACACGCCTTTGTATTTGACAATGTTCTCATGGTGAAGCGATTTGAGGATTTCAATTTCCCGCTCAAAGTCCCGAAGGTGCTCAGCTGTACTGTGCTGCAGCTTCTTCACAGCCACCACCTCCCCGGTGCTGTCCTGCAGCGGGTCGTACCGGCACATCTCAACGCTGCCAAAGTTGCCCTGCGGCATTCAGGTAGAATGAGAACACATAGATGAATGTAAATGGCTACATAAAGTAACATATATGGTATATGTGCAACAGATACCGAAATATTTCTCTTCCTCTGGTTTATAGATTTGTGCTAGTGGCTTAAATTAAAACATTATTTCTCCAAAATTGTATAAAGATGGACACTTTACACAAACAATTAGCAAATGGACTACAAGTGCTTGTACTCATGACAGCTGTTTCTGTGCATTCATAGAGAGTTTGCCTTACTTTGCCCAGCTGCTTGAGGAAGATCAAGTGTCTCTCCTCAAACTGCGCTGGCTCCTGGCTCACTGAGGCCCACGGGAAGCCAAACCCTCGGGTTCTGTTGGGAACCATGTCGCTCTCCACCAGCAATTCATAATCTGCAAAATCATGTTTCAAAAATGTCCTTTTCATTACCTGTGGCAAAAGATGTGGCGAGGTGGTGCATCACAGATAAATGTTTAACTGTAGTCAGTGGACAAACATGTTGGATGTTACAGCTGTACTAATACAGCTGTAACAAGATAAACTCTAATTATAGACTCAAACATGTTTTCTACTTCTACTTGTTGTCCCACCTGGAGTAAAAAGACTGTTGAGGTCTCTGATGATTATCCTGAAGGAGGGTCGGTATAAAGGCTCATAGTCCATGCAGCTGTTTATCAGGTTGGCCAACTCAGTCCACTTTGGAGCTGGCAACTGGTGTCTGTCCTCATAGAACAAGTTCTTCTGCAGATGCATACAGTAAGGTTGAGAAGTTTCACATGAAAAAATGATCTGAAGTAGGTAACGCAGACATGAAGTTTACAGAATTCATTGGGTACGTGTTTTATATGAGACTGGAGAAGTGTTTGCATTTTTGTTCAAATGCAGCAGAAATGTATTAAAATCAAATTTAACCATCACTGAATTCATTCTTAATACTAAAACAAAGTCAATATTTAGCAAGCATATATTTGTAGCTTTGGAACCTTTGAGGAGTCCAGGGTGTTGAGTGGTTTTTCTCCCCCGCTGCAGATCTCCCAAAGCGTCGTCCCGAAGCCCCATTTGTCTGTTGCTAAGCTCAGATTCTGGGGGTTTTCGATGCACTCAGGTGGCACCCAGGGGATACGCTCCACCAGAACTAGGAAGCAGATGTGTAAAAAAAAAAAAGAGAGAGAGAGACAAAACAGGAGTTATGGGAATAGAAAGTGGAGGTGATCAGTGTCTGTACAGGTTGCATAAGATCACACCAAACAGATCTGGTGCTTTTTATTTTCACATGGCCTCACACAGGAATGACGTATGGGCCTTCAGGCGTTACGTGAAGTTTCTCACCTTCTCTGGGCAGAACGGTGATGCTGATACCAGGATCACTGAGCTTGATGAAAGGGAGGCTGCCCGTCTTCCGGTCCTCCTCTCTGATTAGCAGGATGTTTTTGGCACAAACATTCCCATGAACTATGCTTTTATCCTCCTGTAGAAAATAAATTGGAACCAGACTTCTGAATCGCTGAAGGCCTCAAAAATTAAAATGACAAACAGTTAATTCAGAACAAGAAAGACTGGATTTCTTGTAAAGTCTTACCAGGTAATGCATAGCCCAGGCTAACTGTTTAGCCACTTCTAGCTTCCAGGTGATGTTGACACAGTTTTTCTTCTTTTTCAGATAAATATCCAGAGAGCCAAACTTTCCATATTCCTGCACCATCATGTCTGAAATAAAGACAAAAAGCAAGAAAATATATTACTCTGGTCCCTACAATTTAAGTGAAGTAGAACAGCTCCACCAATAATTTGACAGTTTTTGTTGGAGAAATTGATATTATTAACCAAATATTTGTTATTCTCATTCATCTTTATAATGTATCTTTTCTTTTATGCTTTTATTGTTTAATCTCATTATAGAATTAAGAATGTTTCTGTATTGTTGATTTACTCAGAAGGCCTCACTGACAGAAAGCAGAGACAACAGTCTTCCTGCAGGGTTATCTCTTGGTGAAGAAATAGAGCTCTGCTTCGTTGAGTTGCTGGATTGCAACTCAACGAAGATTCACTACATATTCTGTTAAACTTTGTGCCTGGAACGAGATTATCTAGTGCAGGATAATTTGTGTGTTAGTTAGTGAATAACATTTAGCGCTGTAGCTATGTGATGAGTTGTTTTCCCCTCCCTTTAGAGCGACAGCGTCCTTGTGATTAGGGATCCTGAAAACAATAAAAAGAGAGGAGCAGGCAAATGTGTTTTCAGAGCGGTAGGAGAAAGCACATCTCTATCTGTTCTCCTCGCGAGTAAGAAAGAATCTAACTCTCTTGTCTTTCCTGTGTTTGTTTAATCTGTGTTTAATAGGTGTTAAACCTGACAGTTTTATTTTTGATGTCTTTAATGCTTTATCTAAGTTTCTGACATCTTTCCAAAAGATTTCAGGAATTTAGGCTCAATTCTTCAAAAACAAAATTACACCAAAATTCAATAAGCATCTCTTGCTCTGTGATGTGTTCAGCTTCTGTCACCTTTTGCAACTTTCACAGGTGATTGAGAGTGTAAAAGACAAAAAATAGTGCAGAAAGGCTACAAATATTGTCTCCAGACCTGTAAAAACGAGACTATCAAAACTGGAGGAAGAATCAAATTGAACTACATTTCTTTTAGCATCAGGAACTAATAAAATGCATTTTCTGTGGTTTGCGGGTCTGGAGCATTCAGGTGTGTGTTAACTTCATGCCAATGAACTCTTCTACATAAATGGAGGCCATCTGTTTAACAACCACATCTTGACCTAAATTGAGTCAAGACGACGATTCCAAACAGAGCAGCCAAGTCAGAGCAGAACAGCTGAATAAGGAAATGTTCAGACCTCAGTCTGATGGGAAAGCCGCCTTTGGACCATAAACATCAATGAATATGAAGAGTTGTTGTTGAGAATTGTGGGTCCAAAACAATGGCAGAGGGTTCCAGAATGTAAAACAGACCAACTCATTGTGAATATATAAAAAAAAAAAAAACACCAATCTGCCATAAATGTGTGAAAGCATGCGTTTTAGTTTTGGTGTATGTTACTTACTTTCGTCGCCGCAAACACACACACCATAAATGAGGAGTAAGTGCTTGTGGGACAGCTGGCTCATCATGCTGGCGGCCTCAAAGAAGGACTGAGGAAGAAAACAAGGACATAATTATTCCAATCTAAACCCTTGAAATGATCATTACTTAACTTATTCAACATGACCGACCTCTGAAAAACTACGATGAGCCTTGTCTAGAATCTTGACCGCCATGTCCATCTGGTGAACCTCCCCGTAATCGCCCAGTTCCTTCCTCACACCACGAAAGAGCTTTGTAAACGTTCCTTGGCCCAGACTTTCATTCTGAAACAGTTTAATTGCCATTAAGCCACTCTCAAAAAGTATGACATTCCTTATTTGACTCAGACAACCAAATAACTGTCTCCAAATGAAGAAGCCTCAAACAAACTCCAAATTATTTTAAAAAATGTTTTCAATATATTTGAGGAAAGGAAAATTTAAAGTTTTTTCTGTTTCTGATCTATGTCAGAGTACTGTGTTTTGGCAAAAAAAAAAAAAACTTAATTGAGAAATTAAAAAATACGGTAAGCTAAAGGTCACAAGAAAAGAAACTCCAACATGTCCTGCAGGACTGCAGCTGATGCATCAAATACTGTTTATAATCAAAAGTTATTGCACACTTAGGTCTGCATTCTTTCCGTTTATTTTGTTTCTACATTTGGCATTATTATATTATTATACATGTACAGTTCACGTCCAGATTTAAACTGAGATATTTTCATAACATACTGAAAATATCAAAAAGAAAAAGCTGTAACAAAGAGTAAAACCCAGAATGCAGAGGGCCTTGTCCAATGATTTCCATAGCTGGAAAAGATGCGTAAAAATCTTTAAAATAGATTGTTTCTATGGAAATCCCACACACACAAGTTACACACATGTGTACTGGCTGCATAAATTTGGGTTCTCATCCGCCCTTTGTTTTTTAATTATTACTCTTTCAGTACATATGGACACATTTCGAAGAGTAGTTATTCTCTTTTGCCATTTCCTACAAAGTTTCTGAAAATAAAATCATTTTCTAGATTTTTACATTTGTTTAAAATAGAGATGTGTACAAAATGTTCCTGATACTGCACAGTACTTTCTGTAAATCTTTATCTTTAAATAACAGATTATGATCAATAAAACCTCATTCTACAAATTGAAAAAAAATAAAATAAAATTGGTCAACCTTTGTATTTAAATTGAACCCAAGTGAAAGTAGTTTTGAGGCAAAACGCTGTTCATAAGTAGTGTTTTTAATCAGTAAATAGATCAACCAATGGAAAGTTCATAAATTGGAAAAAGGAAATAAAAAAGTTTCTGAATTTTATGTAATTTTTAAATAAGAAATAAAAATTAAACCTTTTTAATAGTCATTCAACAAAAAGTTGATTTTCCCGTAATTGTACGTCACAAGAACAGAGGAGTAGATATGGCCGTTACTGATAATGGTGACATTAAACATCAACTTACAAAGATAAGGTCTTCTTTGCGGATTTTGTGGAAAACCATCTGGCTGATGTGTTTGTGAAGTGATGGAGACGGAGGGACGTCTGTACTTTGGTTATTTCTGCAAACCAGCAGGTTGGATTTGTCTGTGGAAGCATAAAGATAAAGAGGACTTGGAAAAAAATCTAAGACTTTGACATTTGATGCCCATAATTTCAGCAAGACCACAACCCTTAGGACATTTATTTTAAATAGAAACAAGTTTCATAAAGGATGGAAAATTATTTCAAAGACTGAATGACTTTGAAATAAGACATTCAGTCTTATTTCTTAATGATTTACGGAAATCAGTAAGAATTTTGTGAAATGTCCAGGCATCTAAAGTAGTATTGGTCCACTGCAATATTCCAACTTTAAATTATTCAAGTGTTTCCACTCACTGTCAATGAAAAAAATATATGTAACTGAGAGAAATAAAGGCTTAAAAACATCAGTCTATAACATCAGTGTTTAATTTATATATTCTGTTTCACTTGGTGAATTGACTTACTGAAATAAATTGACTTTTCAATAATGTTACAATTGATGTATATGAATATGACCCCAATTTAGCGCTGACTGTCTTGGGCTGTATTGTTTTCAGTATTTCTTCTTGGATAATGGTTTCATGTTCTTTTATGTGTGGGAAAACAAAGATACCAAAAGTACAATCGAGTAAACTGTTAAGACTAAAGTACAGAGATCACAAATAAAAAAGAAAACAACAATACTTTCAGCATTGTTATGTTATTACTTTAATTTGAATTCTGACCTTTCTGGCTGGGTGGACAGCACCTGATGAGCTGGAAAGTGTACCCATCAGTGCGGAGCGCCTCCTTTTGGTAGCAATGCATGAGTTCTTTCAGAGAACCAAAGCTTCTTTTGGCACCGCTCAGGATGAACTCTCCAGACTCCGTCTTCACAATCTGACAGTGCTTATAATCCACCATGGTTTCATACTGAAAAATAAAAACCAGTTTCCCTTCATGTTTAATTATTATTCTTAGTAAATAAAATTTATAATTACTAAAAGCAGTGGTACTGAAGGCATAAATAAAAATGAAAGAGCAAACTATTGCAAAGGTATACAATTGCTCCCTCTAGTGGTTTAACATGTATAAAAACCTGCATTTTTCCATTATCTGATTTATAGCAGAAAATCAAAAACTGAATTACAAACAGCAAGAAAAGAGGTAAGGAAGAATGGAAGACACAAATGAAGGAAGAATACAAAAAAGAAAGTACAACAACAAGGAAATGGTGAAGGGAAGAAGAGAGGCAGAAAAAACAGGGAATAAAGAAAATAACTGAAGACAACACAAGGAAAGTTGGATTTTCTCAAGGAAATAAGAGCACAGAGAAGGATGGACACCAGGAAGAATGACACAATGAAGGACAAGGAAAGTGAGCAAAGAAAAGAATAAATGTGTGGAGGAAAAGACAGTTGAAATAAATGAACGAAAAACATTGGATCAGGAAGATTTTCCAGGTATGCTTCCAAATTCTGCAGTAATCCTGCATAGAATTTCATACTTAACTTAAGCATTTAGTGCAGTTACAAACAAAAGGTTGTCCTCCTTTAATAATAGCTGTTACATAATCCTGGAACCTACTGGTTCAAATGAAACACAGGGGAACAAATTCAAAACAACTTACCCCAACAACAAAGGACATGAAGAATTTGTCATACTCTCGGGGGCTGCAGCGTAGGATGTAGAGGCCTTGATAGTTACCCAAACGACGCAGCTTACTAATTGTAAACTCCATCCTGTGATCAAAGAGGCAAAATGTGCCCTTTGCGTTAAAAGGTTTGTGGTTGTGAGGGCATGACGACACCCTTTATGTGCTGGTTTAGTAAACAACAGAGGAACTCACGATACAGGGCCATGGCAGTAACTCTGAATGCACTCGAGAAGTCTTGGTGGGGCAACTTCTTTACACAAGTAGTGATGGGCGTCGGCGACTAGTCGGTAATATCCATCAACCAAAGAAACAAAAGACAGGGCCTCAGAGAGCAACTGGAACTCCAGCTCCTTTGAGGTGCAAAATAAGCAATTCAATGGAACAGTCATTCTGCACTAGATGAATTGAAATTGATGTTAATTTTGTGCTACATAAATTAATATTTTTGGTTTTTCAAATAAAACTGTGAATACATGTAATTACAAAACTTTAGCTTTACTGGTAAATCGTTTTTTGCATCCTTGAAAATGTCATTTAAAAGTTCATCCTTCTTACATATTAGAAGTAAAGTTTATGCCATGTGAGTAATTTTGCACAGTATTGCATGAGTTGCAAAGAATATGACATTTGGAAGCTAATATCTCATCTCAGGCTCCTTCTCAACTGTTTTGATTACATCTGTCAATAATTTTGCAAATATTTTTCTTAGGGAGCAGATTGCTCTAATTAAAGCCTTAATCTTGCTGCCCTTGTCAGAGAAAAGACATGACTTGCATTCAAAGTTACATGTCATGCATGTGCAGTAAATTAGCTCTAGCTAAGATTCCTTGCATCTGAAAGGTATTACAGTTATTAGTAACAGCTGTGCGGAAGGGGAAAAAGCACTGTACCAAGATCTGATTGTCCTGTCTGGTGAGGGAAACAATGCGACTTTCTGCTGAGCCTTCCTTGCTGCCCTGTTTGATGCTGATGTCGATCACCTCTGGGAAATCACAATATATCTCCAGCTCCTAGTCACACGAAAGGTAAGCACAGGATTTTTTTTTTTTACTTGTCCGCTATGACTTGACACATCAACATCCTCCGTTTTTTTTATTAAAGCATCGACTTTACCTCCTCTGCTCCCTCCTCTCCTTTTCCTTTAGACCAAAGGATGCCCTTGTTGCCCATCACCACGATGGTAACCTCTCGTGAGGACAGGTCAGTCACATGGAAGCGCTCAGAGTACATAGAGGGCAGCAGCATCTCCAGGTTCATTAGGTATTTGAGCTTCAGGTTGCATACAGTGGCTTTGCACTCACTGAACTGCTGGATGAACCGTCGGAAACGGTAGCGGATCCTCTTCCGGGTCAACAGGTTGTACTCTTGGATGCGTTTCCTCATGCATCTGGGGAGGAAGGACTTGTAGCTAAAGCAGGGTGGAGGTCAGAAACGTTTTAGATGGAGATTAAGGTGAAAAAAAAATTAAAGACATTTCATTCAGTGAACAAGTGAACACTTAGCATTCTGACCTCTTTAGAAGAAAAGAAAGTAATGGAAAAACAAATACCATTTTAAACTTTATTTTAGAAAAAAACAGCACATTTCTTACATATTTGTTAAAACTGTCACCATGTTGTGACCGACAATCTATGGAAAGACTCCTCCAAGTTCTACTGTTGCCATCTGCAGAAATACACCGGAGTACCCAGAGAGAACCCACGCATCCACAGAGAAAGCTAACTATCTCCACACAGAAAGGTGCTACCAACTGCGCCACTGTGCAGCCCCACAGCTAAATTTATAAATTAATTAACAGTTTCCAAATTTGTCGGCACTGCAGCTCTACGTTTCATCAACATTTTTCATTTTCACTCAGCAAAAGAATATGTCAGAATGGGTCAATGACTGACTTTAGTGTGAAGCATTCCTCTGAATAGTACAAGCCATTTTTAACATATTAAATGAGGAAGCATCCGATACCTGGTATCATTGTAGATATCCACCGGTGACAGATCGCTCTCTTTAGCGAGCCTCATCATGTCGAGAACAGCCATACCCAGGCACTCCTCCTGAGCTTCATGGCTGACCGGAATATGAACCCAGCCATTTAAAAAGTCACTGCGCCACTGCAACAAGTGAAGGATTTCAAAAGTATTAATGTTAAAAATAAATGAAGCAGTGAAAGGAGCAGGTCAAACATATTACGTTAGCAGTTCACTATGTATCAGGAGATAAAATACCTTGAACCTTTAATCAACTATTGTGCATGTATACATACAACAAAAACTTTGGAGCTGCTCGTGGAGACAATGTGACCCCAGAGATAAACAGTCAAACCAAAGCGGTGTGGTGTGTGTGCGTGCAAGGTTTGCACAAGTGTGAGGACAAAAAAAGCAGAAATTATTTTGAAACTCAGGCATATACACAAAACCACAGGCCTGTATGCAGAGACTCATGCAAACACAAGGAATCCTAAAACGAGTCTTGTTCCTCATTTGCGCTTCTTGAAAACTCTTACTACTTCACTTCCTGTTTTCATAGCTAAACAAAACAAAGGGCTGACACAGAGGACATGCAGACTGCCAGTCAAAGAGAAGGAAATAAGAAGCTATCTCCACCCAGCAGCTCTTCTTATCATCTCATAAAGGGTAAATGAGAGAAAAAAAAGAAGTGTTGGAGCTTCAGTAGAGAATATTAGCCCTTAACCCACATTTTCTGCTTTGAATGCATAAGACACTAAGACAAACCTGAGCAAACAGGTAGGCCATGACACTGTCATCCATTACTGGGCTTTCCATCTCTTTGGACAAGCCATAACGATGGGCGTAGAAGGAGTTACTGCTGTTATACCAGCCTGGAAAATAGTATCTAGACAAAAAGCATATAAAAAAAGACAAGAAAAATCAGCAAAATTAGAAAAAAATGTTCACCACTGAAGCAAGTTTTTTTTTTAAGTAAAGAAAAAAAAACCAAAAGTTTCCTACCTGATTCTGAAGTGCAGGTTTTCACTACCTGAGTTGTGCAGTTTGAAGATGTGATTAGGAGGAAAATATATTCGGTCATTTTCCCTCATCAGGCAAAACAAGCTGCAGTACACTGGGCTAATTCCTGAAAGAGAAAACAAATATCTTTAGAATAAACATTTTTAGTTTAGCTCCAATATAAATGCCATAATGAAAACTAAAATGTGTACTTATAGGAAAGTATGAAATTCACCCACCTTTTTGGTACTTAATAACAAAATAAGGCACCTTTTTCAGCTCTCCATATTGGAACACTCAACCAAATAAAAGAAAAATCTTAATTATTATATATGGAGACCCAAATGCAATAGCTCAGGTGCTTAACAGGAAAAACATTTTGCTAAAATTTCAGATTTTAAATTTTACTTTGTGACTTTGTGGTTTACTGCAATCAACCCTTTTTGTCTCAGATCTACAGAAACACCACTGAACACTGTGAGAATTCCCCAGAGAAACACCAACCACCTCGCAAATGTAACCTCAGCAGATGGGGTGAGCATTTCTTTATTCACCCAAGGATTTGTAGTATATTTTAACAGACTTAGCATTGTCTGATGAAAAATTCCTCTGTTTTCTGTCGGTTGCAAAAATCTTTAGTTTTACAATAAACGCTAAAGATTCAACAACGACAACAATCAGCGTGAACTGAATGTGTTTCATCCTGTGATTGAATCCTAAAAGTGACAAACTACTAAGAATTAAGTCCAATTGTCTTTGCATTATTGTGTCTTATGCTCCCACCGTTTTTCAGTCTGCACCAGAACAAAGTTAGCAGTTTTACCAATCTTGCCAACTGGAACTGGCAGTCTGAAAATGTCATTGTACCACAGGAAGCAGTCAAGTGTGAGGCAAGTGCAAGAGAAGTCCTGCTTAAAAGGAAGTACGCCGAACCACAACAGGGGAAGTAATGTCAAAGTTTGAACAAGTCAAGTCCCATGTTCATTAAGATATGAAATGTCTGCATATAAAAAAACAAGTGAATTGGGTGTGTTTAATATAAAATGAAGGAAAAGTAGTAAACAGTTAGCAAAAACTTATAAATATCTTTAAGATTTAGAGTACATTTATATCTGACGTCTTTCACTTTGACACCTCTAAATCAAACACAGAGTAAAGACTTTGCTCCAGACATCCAAGCAAACTTAGCATGCAGTTTAAAGCAGTGATGGTTTGCAAAAAAATGCCCTAACCTTCAGACAACTCACAGAACACTGTTCAATCATCTGGAAATGGAAAACGCATCTTCATAACTGCAGATACAGCATGGCAAAACTTTCAGTTCTTAGATGTAAATCTGGGAGAGACGGAAGATTAGAAGCTTATATTTGCATTATATGGTGGTTCTGCGCAGAGGGGCGAAACACAAGTGCCCACAACTCTGCTTAGTTTTTTATGTGTAAGAAAATGTGTAAATCACACCTCCCTAGTCTTCCCCTTCACAAAAAAGCTCTATATTCTATTGGTCTATCATATGCAATCCCAGAAAATGCATTGAGGTTTTGTGGTTGTAATGTGAGAAAATGTGCAAAAGTTGAAAGGGTATGAATTCTTTTGCAAGTCAAATTGAATGTATTGTGTGATTTTTAGAAGTTATGTGATATGATGTTTTGCAATAAAATGTTTTGCAATGTAGCATACATTTTTCAGACATCACTACGTAGGAATGCAGTGAGATAAATCAATTAATTGCATGATAACGTAAAACAAGCTCAATATTTTCCATTTGCATTATTTACTGTTTTTCTCTTCGCTTTAAAAAAACTAGCCCTTTTTTGAAGGACAATTTTGTTTACAGAGATTTTAACTTATTTTATGTGCTGTTTGGTTTATTTATTTGGATAGTTAAAATGTCTTCCAGTTCCAGAGTTAGTGTTCATTAGAATTTAAAGTATAATGATCTTTGCAAATGTGTTCTTGCCTTATTAACCTACATGATGGTGCCATTGTATGCTACAAGCCATCACCATGTTATTGTCACATGTTGTTACTGTTTTGTTACAGGCCTATTCAGAACCACCAGGAAGCAAAGATGTTTGTCTGTAGTTATGCCCAACCACTGAAAACAATGTCACATGTGTGATACAAATGTGGTTCAACCATGAAAGAGACAAAAAGACAGAGAGACAGCAGGAAAGACAGATGTGGAAATAAATAACAGACTGAGCTGGAGAGGAATTCAAGATTAGAGGATAAACATGAGGAACAGCAAGAGGCATAACTTGTTTAACATGTCAAAGAAAATGGTGCAAGAGATTGTGGAAGAAGAAACACGGACAAGAAGCAGGTCAAAAAAGAAACACTTCCACATACGAGTTATCTAAAAAAATACAAAACATAATTTTTGTTTTCTATGAAAAACAAATTAGCTTTTTTCATTAAATTACAAAGAGAAAATTGTCTTAATGCTTAAAGCACCATCAGGATTTTTCAGCAATACAAGATGCAGTTGGCTGCAGGGAAATGTTAATAAAGAACTTCTACTTTCTACCAACCCAAGAGTAAAACAGAATAGCATTAAAGCAGAGCAAAAGAGTTGTATTTGTATGTGTCTTTAACGGACCAACCGCTGAAACAGCAGCATCTTCATAACTGACTCCCATAGATTTGCATGCAATACCTCCCTTGTTTCTAACTGTCTAGCAAACTTCGTCTGTACATGATTGTGAGAAAAAGTTGCAAAAAAAATACCTTTTTATTAGTGTAGTAAAACAAAGAGACTTGTCATTGTGATACATTTTCTTTTAAGAACCAGAAATACCCTGAAATCAGACCAAAAGCTCCACCTGTTTTGGTTTTATACCATAATTTTACTGCAGAAATTATACATTAGTATCCAGTATCTGTCCATTACCACAAGGGTGCAGCGCATGTGTGTCATTCTTTATTTATGTAGTCTTTAGTTACTGGCATTTATGCTCAAATTTGTGCTCACTTTTAGCCAACACTAAAAGTGAAAATGCCAGTCATATTTATAGACTGGATGACAGACTTAAATGCTTCTGAACTGTACAAACAGAGGCTCAGATGTTAACGACCATGTTAATATATGAAGGTTGTTATTCAGATTTCTTTATTAAATGTATGGTACTTTAGTCCACCCTTATAGCAATATCAAGTAACCATTACCTTCAGTTGTTACAACTGTGATATCAAATTTAACTTAAAAGAAATTAGACTTCAAAATTTGATGCCTTGAAATTGGGCTTTTGTCTCTTTAAGACGATAATAATTCTGACACTTCACCTTCAGTATCTCATCACAACAATGTTTCTCATTATGCCTTTTACAACACTTCTTAGGCGCATTGGACTGAGAAGTAGGTCATATGATAAGCTCAGCCGATGCACAGTTCCACCAGGTGTTCACTAATTGCTGCTGCTATTCTGAAGGAACAGAGATGGAAAGGCACGAGGGAAAAGTTCTCTGTTAGGTAGAAGCTCGGCTGCTTCAGAATGTTTCCAAAGTTTTCTTTTGGATTTTGATACTTGCTTTTCTTATCCAATTAAGCATCCTCTTAATTGGATGCTTAATTGCACATACTACAAAGAGACAGTTAATATCAGTGGAAGACAAGTGTAACAAGTAAAACTATAAGTAGCAGATGAAGAGGCAAGAATAAAGAAATTCAGCAAGGAGCTGGCACAAAACCTAAGAAATGCATCATCCTACAGCTCTTTAGGAGTCATCTTCAATGAGCTTGTTTCTCATTAGCTGAAAACTCATTTTTATTAGCCAGCTTGCTCACAACGTAAACAAGCAATGGAGCAACAGAAAATGAATGCAGAATTTAAATTTCTCCTTGGAGTTCATACCTAATGGCTTCATCGCAAGAAGCTGCCCAATAATAGGAGCAGGCAAGCAGCCAGCTTTCCAACATGTTTCACCACTTTTTAGTTCGCAGCACAGTTCGTTTGCATTCCCACCACCAAACCATACCAAAGTTAACGTTCAAGAAAACAGACACTCAGGCTTTCAGGTGAACCAGAGTTTGCAAGTTTGATCTGCCCCAAAGTTTGGATGTCTCACAGCTCCCCAAACAAAGTGGATTTTTCAAGGAAACAAACTCTTGTTCGTTGAAAGAGCAACATACAGCTCTGGTGTGAGAAAGCCCAAAGGACTCAATTTAAAACTGGTTTATCTCCAAATTGTTATGTGTCGAAACAAAATAGATTCATAGTTCAGATCTGGGTGGCTGACACCACATAAAAACACCCATAAATGTGAAATTATTGGCTGTTAGTTGTAAAAAAGAACAGTCAGGGTTCAAGGAAGCACTTTGAACAAAAGTCTGGATGATTAATACCTCCAACTAATTTAATCATTACAACACATTCTAGCTCAAGCTCAGTGTTTAACATATTGTCAATGCTCGCTTGTGTTAGGGCTGAAAAACATGTCATTATATAAGCGTTTCCTATTTGCAATCTCAATAATTGTCTATACTGATATTTATTGATTCGTTGTTTGTTTTAAATAACAGAAACCCTGGTGGAATGACCATACTTGTTTTTTCCCCAATTTTCTCTACACATATTTGTTTATTGCTTAAAACAAAACACTTTCCAATAAGATCAAAATGTTATGCTGTATTTAGATTAGGTGTGGTTCCTCAGCAAGGCACACAAACACCGTCAAAAGCAGAACCAAACGATGTTACAGGACCAATAAGATGTGATGTTAAAAATGAAAACACAATGTAAACACTTAAAAAGTTGTCAATGCAGAACTAGAAACATGTAAACAGAGCACAGCAACTTCCTATAAACCCAAGACAATTGTTCGAGGGTGAAACGGATTGGAATTTTTTTTGCAAAAACCATTAAAAGATTTGCTAAGTAAATCAGACCTAAATTAGCTAAACAACAAATAGATATCAAAATTACAATAGCATAGGCTAAATCTGAGAACTGAAATGCTAATGTAACTCACCACAAGCTTTGGCAGCAGTGATGCACAGTTCCTCTGCGACATACTCTCCCGATGGAAATGTGAGGGTGTCGTCTGAGCAGCTGCCCCTTCCTTCAGTCTTTCCCAGGTGGTAAAGGTGAAGAGTTAAAGTAACTGCCTTTACTTCCTGCTTGGGGTCAGGGTCAGTGGATAAGCCATCAAGTGTTGTCGGGTTGGAAGAAAGAGGGTCCATGTCTGTCAGCAGAATAAAGGCCATGTGCTCCTTACTGAAAAACTGCAACAAAAGGAGAAATAAGTCAAAAATAAGTGAGTGAACGCAGCAGTTTCTGAAGATGTATCTATTCATGCAGTCGAGTCAGCTTCTGGCTCACTGCTGTTCAATTTAGTTAAAAATATTACAGAACTCCTTTGCAGCAAAATCACAATCTCAATTTTATCCTGATTTCTCAAAAATAAAAATGTAGATCTTAAAAATAATACATCATAGCAAATAATCCAAAGAACATATTGAACATAAGTGACTGAGCTTTAGCTATTTTCCAGGGACAAAATGGGGAAAATCTGCTGTGTAAAGCTGATAGACAAAATCCAGAAAGAATTGCTGGACTACAGCAATTGGTGGTTCTATGATATTATCTGAATGACATTAATGCCTCACTTTTTGTATTTTTAATATGCAAAACAGTTTTGAAAACCATATGTTGTTTTTCTTCAATTACACTCTACAATAAGTTGGTTTATCAGATCTATTCCTATGAAATAGGTCCAAGTTTACGGCTGTAATATGACAAAATGTTAAAGAGTCTGAAAGCTTCGTAAGGGACAGTAGTGCTAAATATTTGTAAATCCTCTATTTTACGTGACACTGACATTGCATGGTTGGAAGCTCAAAACAAGTCTAAACAAGAGAAACAATAAAATACAAAAACAAGAGAAGAATTAAAAAAGGACAGTTCACTCATTTTTCTTGCTGTTTACACACCCAAAACGTTTATCACCAAGCCTGCAGGCAGGGAGTCAGATGTGTGTTATCAGTCATGCTTGTTTGGGTTATGGATATCAGTTCAGCCACATTTTACTGCTTATCACCACTCTGGTCCACTGGCAGCTACAAGTGCCTCCTATTCAACTGACATGAACTCGGAAATTCAATCAAAAACATCTTGAGCTTCCTTCAAAGTTGCATCACTGTTCCTTGGAGAGCCACGATAACTTTGACAAAATTTCAATCTGTATCCCTTAATTCTGATGGAGTACTGCAATGCAAATTATGTGCATCAGTGCTGAATTAAGTAAAAGCTAGATGATGACACAACATCATTTGACTATTTTATTAGGTTTTCAGCAGTATTCCATTGTTAGTATGGTTAGAAGTACATAGGCAATAAATTCTACCAAACAGGAAAACATTTAAAATAAAATAAAAAAAATTAACAATATGTTCTGAACAAATGACTCAACAGCGGTTTCAAAATGGGTCAGGTTAAAACAAGACAGAAAACAAAAGCGCAGTATAGCCACTGACAGAGGAACACAGCTCCAGCTTTAGCAGCGCTGGGTTAATGCATGGTCCCCAAAATGGGTCATGCAGGCAAACGTCATGACAAAGTTGCTCATTTCAAATTAAATTTGAAGATTTTTTTTCAAAAACAAGTGTTGAAAGTGAAAAAAAATGAATAAGACCACTACAAACAGAAAAAACTATACATTTCTTACTAGCTCTAATCTACCTAAAATTTCATTGTGCAGGAACATCATCATGATGTAGAAATTGAAATACTTTACAGTGCTCTGCACACTCAGTCAGGCAGATTTTGTAAGGTATAAAACTTTTCAGCTCACATTCCTCCAATAAACATTATTTAATATGCAGAAAAAGACTTATACGTTTTGTGTGCTGCTGAGCACTCCAAAGATTTCAAAGGAGTCTTTTTTTTTTTTACTTTAAAATTTGTGGAAACCCATTGGGCAAAATGCCAGCAATGAATCAGTTGACCTAATTGATTTATGATTTAATTCCTAAATGACCTAAATGATTTAATTTTATGATGTAATTTGCAAAGACTGCATAAAAAAACACATGCTAGATAGAGGTTTGGCAAAGTAGAAAACAGGAGCACCTCAGAAAAATGAGGCATGGTCCTGACAGGGAAGTACCTTTGTGCTTTTCTGAGAAAAACTCGCAAGGTTCTGGGGTCCTTAAGGGAAAAGCTGGCAAAGGCAATTCACACTGACTCACAGCTGAAAAGGCCCGAAAAATTCTCAAGTGACAAAGAAAACTCCAACAGCAACAGTTGTCAACAGCAGCAACCCAAGCAAACTATGTAAAATAATGACAGGGATTCAAATAATCCGTTTTCATCTTCTCATTAAACCTCCAGTCAGTTTAAAACATCAACACCTTTGAACTCAGCCTATGTCTCTTCAAAAGGGAAATCCCCTTCAAAGACTAATACAAAAACAGAAGGAGGAGTCAGCAGTAGGGGAGTCTGACGGTACTTTGTACACATCTGTATGCTACAGAGAAGCTGTGAAAACAACCTGTCTCAAAACTGCTCACAGTCCTCACCTCAAACCAGCTGTGCTATCAGCTGTGCTATCTAGCCAGAAGTCTTATTTGTTGTAGAAGATCAACGAGTACAAACTTCAAGATGTCAAATCATACCAAATGTAGCTCACCTTAAAACAAAATAAGCAATTTTGATTTGTATAGACCGGATGGCTGTTTTAGGATGAAATATTCAATCTAAAAGTGAAACTTATCCCACTATGTGGTGAGGAAATGGTTCTGGTTTTCATAAAAATATCTTAAAATATAGCAAAATGAAGCTATTGGCATGCAAGATCAATCTGGATGTCTGACCCTTAAAGTACCTAAATAAAACTTCCCATTTTCTCAGTCATGTTATTGTCGATGTCATAGCAAGTCACATTCTGGTCACTAACTGCAGACACATAACATAAACATACTCATCGCAGTGTGTTATCAGTTGAATCTTTCTACCGTTATGCCACCAAATGATAGATCACTTAAGATAAAGAAAACAGAAGTAGAATTTGGTCACTTGCAGAAATGTTGTCTAAAGTTCATATTGTCTTCTCCCTGTGTGGCTCACCTTCTTTGCTTATGCAACGTTGTATTTGTTTTGGAAAGTTTACAAGTTCCCAAGCATTTCTGGTGTGTAGTTAGCCTGCACATATTTTAAGTGGTTTGGTTGTAATTGACGCTGTGGATGAACACAATGACACACACTGTGACCAAAAGTAATTAAGCAGTCAGCGCTTAGTGGGACATTTTATCCAACATAAATTGAGGTAGAGTCAAATATTTGCAAAGGGCAGTATGAAGGACATTGTTGCTCATATAAACTTAGTTATTAATGCATCATAGACTCATTTATCCCAAATGCCTATGGGTTAATTGAGGAAAAAAATGAAAAACTCACACATTAAAACTGTGCTCATAATACAAAAGAAGTATGTAGAAGATGAAGTGATTTTCAAACAAGTGCTGCAGCAATCATTTGCCAAACATTCAGTCATGTCTGGTTGTAAATAACAGTCTTTATAACACTTATACTGAATCTGATCAACTGACACAAGCATGAACTGCAGCTGCAACTAAATCTGAATTTATCGTAGACTTTCTTATTTTTCATAAATAATATATGAATATATAAATAATGTATAAAAAATATAAAATTTCAATATTAAATGTTATATTGATTTGTTACTGAATTGACAACTGAATATCCGCCTTCTCTACAATTCAGGTTTTTCTTATGCCTCGAATGTCCATTTGGCAACAGCAAAGTGTTGGCCTCCTCCTGTCATATTTCAGAAGATTGGAGCAAACATAAATTATTACATTCTCACACAATTGTCTCTTTTTTGGTCATTTTTTTCTACTTTGTTAGTGTAGAAACTTTTTGTTGCCCTTCAGAGGCGAAAACAGGATATGGGTTACTTTTTTTTTTTTTCAAAAAATATGCTTGCGTAAAAGTCACAGGACATTTGCGGTGCTATATGCTTTGAAACTAAAATGAAGGCAAAGGATGTAGGTAATAAAAGACAAACGCTTCGTGACACACCAAACACGTTCATTCTAAGACTATTTTTTTCTGTCCGCATCTTATTCACAAGCCCCCACAACAGTCCTATTTATTATCTATGTCCATCTGCTGGTAGTCCACATTAAACACTCCAATAGGCCAAAAAGTGTAATATAATTTTAAAATGCTTTAGTTACACTTTATTACAATACAATCAAAACAGAGCTGCACAAAAAGTATTCAGATGTGAGGATGAAAATCACACTGCAGCTGTTAGGAATCCTTATAAACAACTAAAAGCTTGTTCTACTTGAAGTGTTAAGAATGAAAAGATTTGTAGAGATGCTGATTTTATTATAAACAAATTTTAAAATAAAATAATTATTTCTTTTCTTATTTATTTTCATATCTTGCCTTTTCCAGTACTGTATAAAAATTTTTTTTCAGCATATACACACCTTCAACAAAGGTGCTGGGGATATTTGCAACAAAAAAATTGGCATACCTCAACAACTTTGGCAAAACCTTTCACATTACATCATCAATGAAAAACGTACAGAACAAACCACAGAATGAAGCCATGAAAGTAAGACGGGTGTGCAGGAGTTTCCTTTTCCTGCACGTGTTCATACTTGTTTTCACACACTGCTTACTATGGTTTTATATCAAAGTAAAAGCATTGCTCTGTTAAAAGTTAAAACAAACGTTTTGGAAAATCAGCTTTTTGAAATACTTTGATCAAAAATCAATTAGGTTAATTCTGAAATTACTTGATATAGATTTTCCACTCACTCCTGGCGGTGTTGGACAAGCTGTTCTACATTACCAAACAGGAGTTTTAATCACCCAGGCTTATATGACAATAACTGAACATCTTTCAGGCAAAACTTTGTAATTTCTTCTTGTTCCATTTTAAACCTGCCAACCCCTTTTTTGTAATTACACCAGCTGACAGAGCAGTTCGCTGTTCTGACCTGAATAAAACTGAGACGTGATTTTAGATGTACCAAGAATGTACTTTCCCCTCAATCATGTTTGTCACCAATTGTTTTCTTCCAGTAAAACCCAAAATGCAAACTGAATCAAATGAATCAACCCTGCCTACATACAAGTGAAACACTACATCAGAAGAAGAAAAGCACATATGTGCTGAAGAAACAATAACTCTAGCGCAGTTTGATGTGGCGAATGTATACTTACTGTATCCTCCAAGAGATTCCTCTAACAGATTATAGAGTCAGAATAAGAGTCTATATTACTGTTATTTGTCGAGTCTGATTCAAATGTTGTTAACTTTACAGTTTTAACACAAAAAACCAGAATAAAGAGACATCCTGAGGACATCTGAACTGGAAACAATTTCTTCTGAAGAGAAATAGATGAGCCAACTTCTGAAATTGATCATCTATATAAACCATCACTCCAATCAAATAAGAATATTGTTTAACAACATGACTCAGGTTTTCACTTCAAATGCCTAGAATAGCAAATTATTTTATTAGAAAAGGAAAATCTTTTTTGAAAACCTCTTCAAGACTTTAGAAAAAAGCAAGATTCTTTGAAAATAAAATATTAAATCATAAGATGCATGTCTTTTGCACAAATTTAGTTCACATAGAAAAAGAGCATTTCTATAAGGTCTTCATCTGCAAATGGATAATTCCTACCCAGATGAAAACATGTGAATTCGCTGTGATCCTTCAGGGATACATTTCCCTCTTTTTGACATTTTTGCAATGGTTTCTTGAAGGTCTCCCAAGCCATTATACAGCTTGAATGAGAATATCTCCAGGCATGGGGTAATTAGTAGCAAAGGCTCAACATGAATGACCTCAGAAATCCCGAGAATGTAAACAGAACGGCATAAAACTGACAAATAACATGCTGAGACGAAAAATTTAAAAAAAAAAGCTGGTATGTTGGATATTTCTTGTCCAAAGAAAATTGAAGAAATATAATGATTAAAATTTCAATGACTTTCAGCATGAGTACAAGTAGAACTTTTAGGACAAACGCTAAGTGTGTACCATAAGGCAAATTATTTACGAGTCAGCCGATGGAAGACCCGAAAAGGAAAGATGATGAAATGGAGAAGTTTTCTGTTAAATGGAGATTAAATAGGTTTTGCCTGTGTTGCAACAAATTTTATAATGCTTTTAATAGCTAAAAACATTAAACAGACAAAAACAAAACTCCAGAGATCTCCTTCCTAATAAACCACCATATTCATCTAATTTACAGACTTTGCTAATCATTTAGCACAATAAGCTTTCATTGGCACCCAAACAACTCTATTAAGTCAGCCACTTTGATGCATTCATCATTTTTCATTTTGCAGTTTTGATCATTTCGAGGCATTTCATCCCGTTGCATCGTTGGTACAGACATCTGATTTCTTCAGAATGTTTTGTACTGACTATGCATCCACTCACACCTGCCAACATTCAGGACAATGACCTGAATGTTTTAGGTCATTGTCCATATGAAACGCCATAACATATCAATCTGTTTGACTGCATTTAACTCCATTTGACCACCTCAGAACTCGATCAACTGTTTCTGTACTATAACCATTACCACCAAACATTAGGTTCTCAGCGCCACTGACAGCCATAAACACCCAAGCCATATTTTACAAATGGTTGTAGTATGCTTTTTATCAGGAGCTGCTCTTTGCCTTCTTCCTACTTTTTTCGTGCCATCATTTTGGTGGAGGTTGAGCTTGGTTTTATCCGTCAAAAGATTGTTCTTCCAGAGATGGGCTAACTTTTTTAGATGTTTTCGGCAAAATGCAATCAAGCTTATTTTATTCTTGAGGCTGACAAGTGACTGGCACCGTGATCTGAACCCTCTTTGTGCCTTCATGCAGTCTTCTTTCTATAGCAGACTTGGATATTGGTATGCATTCCTCCTGAAGAGTGTTACTCATCTGGTTGGCTGTTGTGATGGAGGTTTCTGGAAATGACTCTGCAATCATCCATGTTGTAACATTCCAAGTCATTCAGTGTTTTCTTACTTTACCAGGATGTAGCAGACGTTTAATTTTTCCACTTCTAATGTTGCAGCAATCTCTCAAATATGTTTTTTTTTGTTGTTTTTGCAGCTTAGCCAACAGTTTGTTTCACCTGCATGTAGAGCTCTTTTATCAGCATGTTGTCTGTTTACAGCAAAATCTTCCAAATGCAAATACTACACCTCAAATCAACTCCAGGCCTTTAATCAGCTTAATTGATAATGGCGCGACAAAGGAACTATCCACACCTACTCATTGAAAAGCCTTTGAGTCAATTGTTCAATTACATTTGGAGCTTCAAAAAGGCAATAGCACATGTAAAGGAGCTGAAACTCTTAAAACTTTCATCCAATTTTGAATGAGAATACCAGGAGAGTCTGAGCATTAACCACAGGTCCATTACATAAGTATGATTGAAATGTTTAGTTAAACAGAAATCTGGTAAACCTGTCAGTGTCCAAATATATAAACCTTACAATTTATAACACATATAACAAAAACCAACATAAGAACCAATGAGACATCACACAGGAGGAAGAGGTTATGAAGTCAACCGCTGAAATCCAAAAAGCAAGTGAAACAACATGGACAGGTGATTTTAAAGGTCATAAAATATGTATGACTAATGCATAGTGGAGATGATCTCATATAAAAATACATATGATCTAATTCCACATCAAAACTTAAAATAAGTGCATTTTTCTGATTTAGTTTTCTTCTACCAATTTAACACATCTCATTTGGGACTTTCCAACAACATATACAGGGCATAAAATGAGATAAGTGATGAATGCACATTAAACTTGATTTAAATTGGAAAATGAACAAATATAACGATAGAAAACAACTGAGCTGTTTGCTGCAGAGAGTTTATAAGCTGCTAATCAAACAGACTCATTTCCTTGCTTTCAGACTTATGATGTCAGAACATATTACCACAACAGTTTTTGACCAGACAGTTATATGCATTAAATATTATACCAAATGTTTAGTAGCAAAGCATCAGTTGTGCATGTCAACACAACTGATGTCAATGCGTACATATTGCTCTGTCAGTTTTTCAACTTGAAAGTACAATATTTGACAGTAAAAAACATGAACTTTGTATTACTTGACTGTTCCAACCATTAAAAAAAAAACAGATAAACGTTCAACAAATTTCCTGCACGTTTCATGACAATATCTCAAAAAAATGCATCAGCATTTTTTAGTAATTTTAGTAATTTGGGAGGTTACAACATTTCTCAGCTTTCAATGTAAATTCAGGGACATAACTAATAATTAGTTCGGTTTATAAAACGCTGTAGCTGTCCAGATCGATCAGTCAATCGTTTGTTTTGACATGCTTGTTTAGACATTTTGCAAACGTGCAACTTGTGCAAATTATAACGCAACTTCATGAACTCAGTTATATCTGAGTAAGTATTATGGATTAGTTTTCACCCTGAAGGATGATCATATCACGATCGTGGGACCTTGAACAATACGGTCCACCAGAAAATTAAAGTGTTTTGCAGTTCCCTGTTCAGTTGTTGAGGCGTATCTGATATTTTTGCCAACATTTTCACCCGCAAAATGGACAGTCAAGTCACAGGAACAACAACAAAACGGCGTTTACATGAGAAGCCAATAAGAAAAAACCGTGAAGAAGGACGCATCACAACGAGCAAACTCTCACCCAGCTTGCTGCAATGTGTTGCTGCTCCGAGTTTCCCCAACTGAACTCAGGTCGGCGTGAAGTCCAGCTCTCGGCTCCCCATTAGCTAGCTATGCTACAGCGCCCAGTCCTCGGCAGCCGCTCCGTTCATTCGTCCCCCGGCAGCCATTCTGTCGCTGCCCGCATCTCTTCCCCCACCTTGTTCGCTCGGCGGAAGGTGTTTTTTATTACGACTTGCTGCGTTCTTTGAAGTAAGAAACAACCTCTGACTGACAGTCACTCCTTTCTACTGACTCCTTCCGTCAGCGGGGAAGCCGACTGCGCTGTGACGAGGACGGTTTGGGCGGAGCAGCGCGAGAGGTCAAGCTCGCTGTTTTCAGTCAACTGTTTTTATCCTCGGACAACAAAACAACTTCTTATTTCATCATAACAAGCGCTTTTTCTAATCCTCAGGTGGACGGGGTTGCTGATAACTGCACTCATATGTCAGGAAGAAAAAGAGGTGGAGTGCATTTACTGTTTTAACTTTATTTTATAAGTATAATACAGTTTACTGTACGTTCACCTGACCTTCAAATGGCGCAGCAGAGAGGAAATGACACTCAAAAATGTCACAGCAAGAAGTCCCTCTTGCTTGTAAACATGTCTGCGTGTGGCGCATTTTTTGCTTAGAACATTATTATATTCATAAAAATAAAAAGTATTAAGGCTACTTGTAAAATTACAATGTAATCAAAACCATTACCCGAGTAAGTGTAATTAATTTCTTAATTGCACTTAAGAAAATAATAACACAAGCATACATTTCCAAAGCTCACTTTTTTCCAGCATTAAACTGTTGAATTCAGTTTGATGATATGACTGTGTTTGAACAACCACTGATGTCAAGATAAATTGTGTGTTTTCTAGTAGTGCTACAAATGCCACTCAGGCAGATAGTAAATAACATTAACAAGTTTGTGTGTTTACAGGAAATCTCCATGGTATTCTGTGGATGTGGTTCATGTTAAATTAAAATGATCGGTTAAGTAACTAGATATGGGTAGAGTAGCTGCTATTTAGCATTGCTTAAGAAAATATTGCACGAACAAAATTATCACAAAATGAAAGAAAAAATTATACATAGTTTTCACAAGTTTGCACCAACACAAATCTGAAAAGTGTGGTGAGTATTTTCTCCACCTCTTCAGTCAGCACTTTTTGGAATCCCTTTTCCTCCCATCTCGAGACTGATTTTTTTTTTCAAATTTTTATTGCAGAATCCTTGATGCTCTGGCGGACTTGACATTTTTAAGAGAAGTTTTGCCATGGTCTCTATTTTATTATGGTCTGGGATTTAAATGTGTCCAAGATGAGGAACACACAATTTTAGGAAGATATGAATTTATGATGATATTCTTGGATACAACCTCTGCAGCCATTTAAAATGTTGGTAACCTTTTAGTTTCCAGGGCGGAACCTCAAAGCACATCAGTCTCATCTTAGTAATAAGTAGGCTGGGCCAACTTCCTGTTTCCTGCTTTACAAAAAAAAGCAATGGAAAATATTTTCAATACCTAACTCACGGATAGGTCCTCTACCCTCTTCTAGCCTTGGCTAAGCTGCCCATGTGGACAGGCAAAATACCAATGTGTTTCACTTGAAATATAACTTAGCAAATACAGCTGCCATTGAGTCCTTTACAAACACCCTATTGTAAACATTTTTATACAGTTAAGGTATTTTTGATGAATCATAATCGTCATCATTGACGATTATGATTCCATATGTTGTGCAGTTGTTGTCCTCCTGGAAGGTGAACCTCCACCCCACTTTCAGGTGCTTTGCAGCTTGCAGCATTTTTTCTTCAGTTGCCCTGCATCATTTATTTCCATCCATCTTCCCATAAACTTTGCTCAGCTTCCTTGTCCCTGCACTGAGTGATGTTGACAACAACTCGATTCTGTTATGGGGAAGATGTTCTTCGGATGATATACTGTGTGAGTTTTCCCTGCACAACATTTTGTAACTTCTTCTTCATGCTCATATTCAGTTGCACTGGGTTTTGTTTTGAGGGAAGAAGTTGCTAGTTTTGGCTCAGTGGAACTATTTTGGATAATTGAGAACTGAGATGTATCGAAGAGACTTTAGAGAAGATTGAAATTTATAATTTACCTGACTTAAAACATTCTGTATCTGAACTGGCTTTCCCAGTGTTGCCTTGGAAGGGCTGCATATTTCCAATATCCTTGAAGATATGTAAACATAATGCTCCTTCCCACCTCACCCCCTCCTGTTATCCATGTAGCTGTGGAGCTGAGCACTCCCAAGGACATCCTGCCTTGATAACAACATCTCCATCAGACTTCTGCTGATTCAGTGTTTGGACATTGGCTTCTTCTACTTGCTTGCATTTTTTTATAAATGAAGCACTCATATCTTATGCTTGATTTTTAAATGCCTAATGAGTCCATAACAGGATGTTTTGTAAGAATATTCCCAATCCTATGAATAATCAAGAAACTTCAGAGTAAGAAATTCTGCTTCTTACTTTGTCTGAAAGGATTCATCAGTGGCAATTTACAAAAACATTTAGATAATAAATAAAAAAGTTATTGGAGTTCAGGTGTGTCCAAAAATTATTCCTAGTCTATTCAGTGAAGTTTGTATTTGTGACCATGACCCAAAAATGATGGCCACAAATGGTCCGGATGTACAACATTTGGTGGCTGAATCCTCTGCTTCTGTTCATATAACACATATAGAAGACCCACATCCTCTAATTTCAACCATATTGTGACAGAAAGCTGAAGTACATTTTGACATTTAGCAGAGATACTTTGCACCGACTTTGGTAAAGAATTCATATAAATTAAAATAAATTGACAAAAGATCAGGTTATTTTACAGCATTGTAAAATAATGATGTGCTGATCTCGTTTCTAACAGGCCAAAAAGAGACGTGAGTGCAAGAAGAAGGAACAGAGAACAATTTTTTTAACCAAGTTGATGGGGCAACACCTGAAGTTTTGTAAGGGAGATTTTTTTCAGAATTCACCAAACCGACAACTGACAAGCGGGTATAATTACAAAGATTCAGTGAACTTGCAAAAACATAAAAAGGAAGGCTTTCTGAAAACTAATTGAGAGAAACGGAAACTTAGACCTGTTGTGTGACTAAGGAAACTAATACTAAAGCCACCACAAATAAACAAGGGGACATCTCCAACCAGATAAGACAGAAAGTAAAAATGACCAGAGAGGAGAATCAGTTATCAAAAGGAAAAAAACAAAGAAAAGTTGTGTTACTTGTTTCTGATGAGAACATCCAAAACCAAAGCATATGCAGATCTGAAATTTTTCTTTAAAGCTAACTGCTTTAAAAAAAAAAAAAAAAAAAAGCAGTTAGCTTCAAAAATGTGGCCTCTGACTTCACACTGCCTGGTGTGGGGAGTCTGTCTGCACAAAATGAACTCTCCAAGGGAAGAACAGGTTCCATGACATCTCACTCATTCTTTGGAACCCAAGCAGCTCTGTCTGTCCACAGCCACAGGGTGAAACTAAAGTCCTCTGGGATCAGTTCCTGCTCCATGAAACCATAATAGACAGGAGTGTGGCTCCAATTTCAACTCAACTTTTTGAGTTGCAGTCTGAAGAGAATGAGTGTGTGTGATAAACCTATTGCTGAGCAACACCACCGCCATGCGGTTCATTTTGGGTATTGCATTCCATCTCCTGCTGGTCCAGAAGAGTCGGCGGTGGCCTATTCAAAGCACTGAAAGAGTTAAGGATTTCAGAGTCGATCAGAATCTCTGAGTCTGCAGTACAGAGCAGATGGATCGCAGAGTCAGGCAGACTCCTCATAGATGGGAGATTGTTTTTTTCCTCCTGCATGCGGGAACTATTATCAACAATTTCCAGTGATTATTTTCTTAAGTGCATAAAATCTGAAAAAAGTAATTTAGTTCCTTTTTCTACCAATAAAGTTGAAGAAGCGTCGTTTTGTTTACTATACCTGGATTACCCTGCAGAACAAGGTGGGGCTGCTTCTTTAAATCCATGTGCCTGATGATTGTTTTTGCCTTTTTCTTTAATAACTGAAATTACATTACACAAACTTGAAATAGCTTTTAGCTACTTCTTTTGTAAAAGTATTTTTTGTGCAATAATCCAATAGTTGTGGGGAAGAAAGCAACATGCAGGAAGATTTTTTTTCTTCGACTAGGACTGTAAAGAATAGATGGGAAAAACCTGACAGAGGACTTGACGACATAGAAAATTCCAACAAATTGTTTAAAGTTTAGTTGTAATCCAGCAAATGTGACAAACTGGCAGAAATCCATTTGCAGGTTCCTGTAGAAAACAATGCTTGTATCTACAGATATAGATACAATTGAAAGAGAACATTTTGACTCACAACAGAAAGTCTTTAAAAAGTAAAATTGTGATCCAACTAATTCACTCTAGATAAAAGAAGATAATCATGTCAAGCCACTGTGACACTCTGTACTTCAGTCTGCCTGGCCATGGAAACTCTGTCCTGCACAAGATGAATGCTCTAAGAGAAGACCGTCGGTTCTGTGACATCACGCTCATCTTCGGAAGTCCAAACACCACTGCGGACCAGTCTGTCCACTTCCACGGCCACAGGGTGGTGCTTGCAGCATCCTCTGATTTCTTCCGTGATCAGTTCCTGCTCCATGAAGACCAGGCAGAGATGAGCGTGGCTGCAGTTTCCAGCGCAAGAGTGGCGAAGACGCTGCTGCTGTCCTGCTACACTGGACTTCTTGAGGTGCAGTACCCCGTAAGCAGAGATGCAGTCATGACAAAAAAAAAAGACTCATTTTAGAAATTCACTTTATCAGTCTGCGGTTTTGAGGTAGCCTATAAGAACTTCGGCAAACTCCCTTTCAAACAACATTGTGTCACTGCTTGTTCGTCCACTTGATCATTGAACAGTGTGTTTGATTCAGTTACTGCAAGTTGCACAGCGAAAAAGTCCTCCAGCCCAAACAATACTCCCTCCACCGCCATGCTTAAGAGTCAATGTGAGTTGTTCATCCTGATATGATAAAGATATTTTATATTCTAGGTCTTGTAACAGTGTTTTAAATGTCTTCAACACACCGTCCCCAAGGCTTTTTTTTCAACAAGAACAACAAAATTATTGTTTATTGACCTTACCATCTGCTTGGTGAAACACAGAGGCTTCCTTTTATTGTTAAAGGATTTTCTTTAAAGGCTTTTCTTCAACAAACAGGTAATCTCACCAGAATTGATAATGGTATGCAATTAATGTTTGTTTTTTCTTTTTTTTTTTGTTTCTATTCAGGTACCTTTGGCAGAACTGGTCAGTTTCCTGAGCACAGCCAGCATCCTCCAGATGAGCGAGGTGGTAGAGAAATGCAGTCAAGCTGTGTTGCAGTTCCTTAAACCCATCATGTTTTCCAATAAACCTCCAAGCTGCTCCAAGGAAACTGAAAACCAGCAGCCAGAGAGACGCTGGCTATGTTCCAGTTTTGAAAATCGGAGGGAAAAGGATGTGGCCCAGGCCAGCACCAGCATCCAGGAAGATAAAACAAAGGAAGGAGTGGTTCTTAGTCAGGCAGTGGATGGGGTCAGCCAAGAATCTAAGGTGGATAATGAAAAGACTAATGTGACTACAGAAGACATGAAGTTTGTGAAACCCATATTGGAGTCATCAGAGGATCAGAAATTTGACCTTGACACCTTGAAGTCAGAGCAAGGTGTGGAAAACCCCACAGCAGCTCTCCAGGATGAAGATTTTCAAGACCTCACTTCATTCCCAGCTTTAGAGATTACAAGTGCTGCAGGTCATGTAAAGTTGGTGGACATCTCCCAAAAACAACAGGAACAAGTAGGACATGAAGAAAAACAAGATAAAAACATTTATGCACATGAGGCTCAACTGGAACATGATGGAGACCCGACAGATTCCAAAGTATCTAACCTCTCCGAGGCGCAGTCGACAAAGACTGGCGAAGATGTACTTCTAGAGGCTTCACACAGCGTCCCAGTTGAGAGACCATACCTGTGCAGGAAGTGTGACAAAATATTCCAGCGCCTTGAGAACTACGCGGGCCACCTGAAGGAACACAGGCAGTATTCTTGTTTGGTCTGTGGGGAGGGATTTTCCCAGAAGAGCAAACTGACCCGGCACATACGCGTTCATCCTGATGTCAAGCCCTTCAGGTGTCCACTGTGCCATGAAACGTTCATCCAAAAGGGCTGGCTGCAAGAACACCTCAACCTGCACACGGGCAACAAGCATAGTCTGAACCCAACAAACAAGTCAGATTTTAAAAATGGCCCGACAGATGTGCTGGAGAAGAGTGGAGGAGGAGCAAATTAGGATTAAAATGTAATCATTACTGTTTGTTCTGGCTGCTTGTACCTTTTTTTTTGTATCTTTTTTGGAAATCTGGTCCCGACTTAAATTGTATAAAAACATGCACATGCAAAAAGACATTTTTCTTTTTGAGGGACTGAAAAAAAATGTGTAAAATGTTATATAAGATTCCAAAGACGAAAAGAGCGTGTGCCTCATATCTCAGAGGTTTTTCATGCTCAATGTCTATGGACAAGGTTATTTTAATTTAGTTGTGAATTCTTTGGTGTTTGAAATTCGCAGGATTAACTATTATTGGCTCTGTGCTTGATGTCAAAATATTTTATTCAATCAATATGCACATTTCTAAATTATGCTCTTAAAATTAAATAATACATTGCACACTATTTATTTGTGCATGTTCTACAAATAAAGTTTGATGAGCTCTTTATTGCGTCTTCTGTCATCTTTTTTTTTATTTAAATGAAAGTTTTTCACTGTTTAGTCATTGCAAAACGCAGCAAATGTACAAACTGTGTGCGTGTGTGTGTAATAAATGGAAAAAAGCGCTTTTGCTTAGTGACGGAGGAAAGATACTCAAATCAGAAGAATTGATGAGAAGCGGGAAAGGGATTAGCGGCGCGAAAGGAGTCGCGGGAAAAACAGTGAGATGGCGAAATTGGCGGAAAGTTTTGATATCGGAGCGATCCGTGACACCCAATTCGAAATTTGTTTCCAGTTTAGTGGTTTTTGTTTTGCACAAAAGGACTGATGTGCAAAACATTCAGCAGGCTGTGGCGCTGTGTTTTTGTTTTTGTTTTAGCTGCAAGAGGAAGCGGGAAAACCCGCAAGCGGGAGTCTTGAGACAGACAGACAGACAGACAGACAGAGGGCCTTTCGGATAGATAATTAGTTTTTGAAAACATGAGTAAAGTGCGGTCCTGGAAGACTCAGAGGCCGGTGTCCGGAGATCCAAGCGGCGTCAAGGCGGCGCTGCGCGGCGTTGATCAACACTCCCTAGCAGCTAGCTTCTAGCTAACCAGCTAGCATGTTTCACCCACTGCGAACACCGGGAGTCCAGGTACAAACCCTTTCTTCTCCCCAAAAAACTGTTAGCAGTTAAGACAATCACCACCAGCAACAACGGAAGTATAAAATAAGTTATTAGGGAAGAAATGCACAAGTGGGAGATATGTAGGCTAAGGGCCTCGGTTTCCCTCCTTCTTTTGAATAAATGTCATTGTAAAAAAACACACATACTTTTTTCCAGAAGATATAAATATTTTTGTTCTGTTTCCAAATAAAAAAAATTAAAAAAAGAAGTACTTCCTCACAGTTCAGGTTGTGCCAAAAAAAAAGTCTACAATATTACTTTTATTAAGAAATATTGATCCATAAACAGTGTTTAGATTATTGTTGGACGGGTAAAAATAATCGTAAAAATACCAATTCAGTTATTTTTACAGTTTAAACGTTAAGAAACATTTTGAGGTTCATGAGTGCTCTAAAGTTACTAATCTTGGCCCACGGTTCCAGCAGCTGAACAAAATAAAAGAGGATTCTTTACCAAACCATGAAACATTTTGCTCTTTGCATTTGCATCTTCACTACAGGCATTGTTTCACTTTTTGACCCCTCTGATATTGTGCAGACTATGCTCGGCATGACGACAAGGTTAAACGGCTGAAAGGGTTTCTATGCTCTCTAACCCTTTTTCTTCCTTTCACATGTCTTGTTTAATTTCCCGGTTATCCTACTGACCCAGAAATGTCCTTGTCACTTATCTCGCTTAATGCAGTAGCCAGTGGGCAACTAACGGCTCTCTAAATGTGCACCCAGCCGGGACAGAAAGTAAGTCAGAGTTACAACCGCATGGATTAAAAACTGATGTTTGACCGAGTTATTTAAAATTGGGAAAAAATATTTGAGTTTGTGGAGATACAAAGCTGGTAGACACATCCATCTAATCACCCGCTGTTGTGACTACAGCACAAGCTGAAAAAACATTGAATCCGGAGGTGCGCTTTGTGTAAAAGCACAACACACAGTTTTCATAGATTTTAATTTTTTATTTTTGTTAAAATGCTTGAATGATAAGTCACTTTCTTCCTCTTTCACAATTATACACAATTATAGTATTGATTTGTCGCATAAAGTTTATATAAAACACACTGGTATTTGTGATTTTAGTATGCCAAAAATGTGAAAAAAGTTCAAAGGGTGCAGGATAGAAAGGAATTTTAAAATAATTTACTTAAACCTCCCTTTGTTAATTCAATCTTTTTGGGACAATGGCGCCCCCTGGCCAGACAGACAGTCTTTCATACTTCAAAAATAAAATAAACATTATTTTGTTTATTTTATGCATATGTAATGATTAATTAATTTTCCAGCCACCCTTTTCAAAACTTTCCAGAGGCAACCCACACTGCATTTTGAGCGATTTGCTGGATGCTAGGGGTAGAAGTCACATTGTTTTACCCCTTAAATTGTAGAGCCTTTTAAAATAAGTTAAAAAGAATACAGTAAAGATACTGAACTGAAAATAAAAGAAAAAAAATGCAGGAAAAGCCTTGAGAAGGAACAACAGAGATTGTTTTGATAAACTTCAACAAAATGTATTGCTTAAAAGCCAAATATAAAGAAATACGCTGGAAAGATTAAGCATAAAAGTTTTTCGGGCTTCCTTTTTGTGTGAAGTTTCCATGTTCTCCCCTTAGGGCTTTCGACAGCCACTCCAGTTTCCTCCTATGGACTACAAATATGCATATTAGAGGACCTGGAGGTTTTACAACAACCTTAGATTTCAATGTTGTGACCTCGTGTGGATCTGAAATGGCTGCTAACTGGGTATAGCCTGCCTCTGACCTCATAAACAATGGGATACGATGATCCTCCACAAAATCCTGAGGAAGACAAAACAAGTTTGAAGAATGAATGGGGATGAAGGAGATTTATAATCTACAACGTAACTATATCCTGGTAATAGGATTAAAGCTTTTGATGAGGTAGTCAGTGGCAGCTGCACAGCCCATGGTTCTACTCCCAGCTACATTACGGCTACAGTCTTAGGTTACTAAACGTCTTTATTCAATACAATGCAAGTCTATGCCTCGAGAAGAGGAAATGACAACAGACGTCACCTTAAAGCATTTTACATTTTACATGAATAACATACATATTCAGGTAAAAAAAACATATAGCCAACCAGATTCAGATCTAATTCAAATTAGATTATGGTACAATCAAGCCCAGTGGATGACATCAGATTTGAATCTTGTGGTCCACACCAGTTTCTGGGGCAATTGAAGTACACCTGGGAGTACTGCTATTGTCCTAGGGCAAAAAAATCCTGGATTAAAATTCAAGCGTATTTCTGCATAGAGTTTGCATGTTTGCATTTTTTTCCCCCCTGCTTTTACGAATGCATAAAAAATTACAAAGGACAAAAAAGATTTTCAAAAACCGGCTTTTATTTGAATAATTTCTTCTGTGAGTTGACCTGCATTCAAAGTCCAAATAATTAGAAGCTATAAAACAACAAGATGGTAGGTCCTGTGTGGTCGAGTGTCAGAAATCTGAGGAGTGCATTAGTGGAAAAATCACATTTGTCCTAAAATTAAATCTTTAAAAACAACAACAACAAAAAAATGTTAAATCGATTTATTGCTTGTGCCTAATTCAAAGCTTCATAAGTAAGCATCTTGTCATGTATCTGAAGTGAATGTGAAGCCAGGGATGAACTACGAGTGGCGTGATGTGAGAAAACTCTGATGAAAAACTGAGAAATATCCCTTGAATTCAGGAAATGTTCAGTATTTAGTAACCCAGAAGCTTGTGGCGCCCCCTGTCATCCTGCCGCCCTGCAAAGTGAGCCATATGGTCCCATATGACAATGCCAGTGAATTCAGATCTAAATGCAGCATGACTTTTCTTCCGCCTTTCTACTTCCCTCTGCAGCTCTGCACAAAAAGCACACGGCGTTGATGTGTTAAACTTCCTCCTTGAAGGCTCTCGCACACACTTGTCAGCGCATCCTCCCAACCCCCTCCCTCCCTCCGCTGCTCTGCCTCTCGGTATGTTCCTTTAAAAACCAGCGAGCCCACGCCTCGAAAAGCGGCTTGTTCCGGCTTGCCCCTGTACATATCTTTTATCCTTGCTCGCCACATGAAAATAGTGCCCCCCACCCCTCGATAGCTGCGCACCACCATTTATCTGCGCTCGGCCCACGAACAACAACCTCATCCATTAGCTCGGAGTGTGCATGATGCGTAGCCGCGCAGCAGCAGCAGCAGCGGCGGCGGCGGCTCCGTGCCAGTGCAGCCCGATGCTGCTGGCGGTGGAGAGTCTGAAGCGCAGCTCTGGCACCATCACCGCAGGCGGAGCGATACCATCATCTCCTCTGAGCGTTGTTTTGTGAAGCACAGGGTGTGAGGCTCAGAGTACCTGAGCTTCCGTCACGCGCGGTGGGAAAGACGTGCAGAGGAGCGCAACTGGACCAGATAGCGCTCCTACTTGTAGCAAATGCGCTGATAATGCGTTACCAGATTATTCTAGCGCCAGGAAGCATCTATCTTCTGCTGCTTTTTTGCGACCGATGAAGATTTTTTTTGTTGTTGTTGTGGGTGACCAGGAAATGTTTACTCTGATGTTTTGGTGTGCTTGAGGTAAGTGACTGACTGAGCGGAGCGCTACTTTCTCTTGTTGCTCAGATAGAGATGATACTTTTGTACTTCGGTTGCTTTTCAAACAGATCTAAGGCATAACACCTGCACTGCTTTTTCTTATCTGGTGCTGGTAGTTTTTTGTTGTTGTTCTATGGAGAATGAAGGAGTTTAAAATGTGAAAGCAACGTAAAACTAAAGCAGAGCTTGTGAAATGGAGGTGGAGATGGGGGTGCATAGCTCATCTCCACAAACGGCGAAATGCTCTGAATAACAACACTGTTGCTCTGAGCAGTTTTAAAATGCAAACCTAGTGTGAGATGTAGCAGTCTCGTCATAAAGTTAAATTTTGCTGCAGCTTGCCCTGTTGCAGGTTACTGTATAACCAGCTGATTTTCAGATGCATGCAAGCAACTTTGCATTTTGGTGTTCTCACCAGTCCTTTCTGATGTTGCATGTATAAGAATTGTTCATCACAGTTATAACAGTACACATTCAATTGTACTGCACTCCAAACAAGCAAGCACACAAAAAATTTTTGCTCTTTATTGACACCAGTAAATTTGTCAAAGTGGTTGATTATCTGTGCCTCAAGAGAATGTTTCAAACAATTGGTATTAAAGTTCAGCTTTTCGCATTATTGTGTACCT